TCAGGGAGGGTGAGGTGCTCTGCTAGCAGTTGAGGTGTGAACACCAAGGGAGGAGAAACTGCTTCTGTAGTTGGATAGCCATTCACAGTGTTTGTTTAATCCTGATCTGATGGTGTCAAATTTGCAAATGAACTGGAGCTCAGCAGTTTCTCTTTGGAGTCTGGTCCTGAAGTTTTTTTGCTGTAAGATGGCTACCTTTACATCTGCTATTGTGTGGCCAGGGAGGTTGAAGTGTTCTCCTACAGGTTTTTGTATATTGCCATTCCTGATATCTGACTTGTGTCCATTTATCCTCTTGCGTAGTGACTGTCCAGTTTGGCCAATGTACATAGCAGAGGGGCATTGCTGGCACATGATGGCATATATAACATTGGTGGAAGTGCAGGTGAATGAGCCGGTGATGTTGTAGCTGATCTGGTTAGGTCCTGTGATGGTGTTGCTGGTGTAGATATGTGGGCAGAGTTGGCATCGAGGTTTGTTGCATGGGTTGGTTCCTGAGTTAGAGTTGTTATGGTGCGGTGCGTGGTTGCTGGTGAGAATATGCTTAAGGTTGGCGGGTTGTCTGTGGGCGAGGACTGGCCTGCCTCCCAAGGTCTGTGAAAGTGAGGGATCATTGTCCAGGATGGGTTGTACATCACTGATGATGCGTTGGAGAGGTTTAAGCTGAGGACTGTAGGTGATGGCCAGTGGAGTTCTGTTGGTTTCTTTTTTGGGCCTGTCTTGTAGCAGGAGGCTTCTGGGTACATGTCTGGCTCTGTTGATTTGTTTCTTTATTTCCTTGTGTGACACAGCACAATTTATTGCTGAGCTCCTACAAAAACCTGTAGGAGAACACTTCAACCTCCCTGGACACACAATAGCAGATGTAAAGGTAGCCATCTTACAGCAAAAAAACTTCAGGACCAGACTCCAAAGAGAGACTGCTGAGCTCCAGTTCATTTGCAAATTTGACACCATCAGATCAGGATTAAACAAAGACTGTGAATGGCTATCCAACTACAGAAGCAGTTTCTCCTCCCTTGGTGTTCACACCTCAACTGCTAGCAGAGCACCTCACCCTCCCTGACTGAACTAACTTCGTTATCTCCATACTGATTTATACCTGCCTCTGGAGATTTCCATTACTTGCATCTGAAGAAGTGAGGTTCTTACCCACAAAAGCTTATGCTCCCAATACTTCTGTTAGTCTTAAAGGTGCCACAGGACCCTCTGTTGCTTTTTACAGATTCAGACTAACACGGCTACCCCTCTGATGTAGGAAGTGAATCATCATAGATTCAAAATTTGACCTACCTCTCCAGGTGCAGGAAGCATTCAGGATCCCAGGGTTACCAGCTAATGCTCCCCCGGTAAAGCTGAGACTTTAACTTTTCTTTCAACGTATGTAGAGGTGGAACAGTGTGGCATGTACAGGATCCAGAACACAGAGGTTGATGGATTGAAATAATCTTCTGTTAGCTGCTGCCTCCTTTTCTTTTGGTAGAAGGCAAAACAGAGCTTGGAGAAAATGCTGAGCTTGCCTGCAAGGGCTAAGGGCAAGACACAAGTCCCTTTGTGAGGTCACTGACTCAGCTCCTCTAGCTGACTGGGCTGACATCAGGGTGCAATACTTAGTCAGGTGGTTGCCACACTGACCATAAGACAGAAGATAATTGATTTCTTTCTAGTTTTCCTGTTGCTCAAGATACTCAACAACTACACTGCATACAAATTTTGGATGGAAAAAGCTTTATCTTCCAAAGAATTTTTCTCATAGAAATGCACTGTGCTAACCTGGAGAATTGGGTGTTTCCTTGCATGCAGTTAAATGTGGTTTCTTTGGTTTTCACGTGAAAGCTTCTGCCTTAGAGACAGGGAGGAAGGGACAATCAGCCCGTCAGGTAGGAACCATGCAACATTTTTGCCTGATAGTATTTTTGGCCGAGCGAAGTTGAGGCTTTACACACAACTTGATGGCGTTTCTCTTTTTGTCTCTATGTAATGTGATAACTTTTGAAAACTACATTTGATCAGTTTCAGGACATGTTCTAGGTATCAGTGGGCAGAACCCTGTTGATTTTGGTGAAAGTTGGAAAACGATAAAAATCTCATTTCCACTAAAATCACCCCTTGGTCATTCAGGATACAAGCACGAGGCAGTGGCCTCACAGAAGTCTATGTACAGGAGTAGAGTTACTCTGGATAAAAGGATGAGATAGTGACTTATGGGTTAGGGTTTATGGGCCCCTAATTCCACTTCAGCCAACCTCACCCTAGCTGGGCCTCTAAGGCTGTAACCTAGTAGAATCACTATGGGTTCTGTGGGTAGCGTGTCTTTAGTTACCTTCAAAATTCGTTTTACTTTCCTCCAAAATACTATTATTTTAGGGCATACCCACCATAGGTGCAGAAAGGTCCTATTACTCCTCTACCTCTCCAAAATTTATGACTCATTTTCAGGGGATTCTTTTCTTTTCTGGTGCTGATTATTTTTTTTGGCTGGTGTTTGTCCTGTTCATCCTGTCTGCTATCTACTGCTTAATGACTTGAAAATGTAGACAAAGATTTAAACCATTTTGTTGCTATCTTCTGCTTTTAGTGTGAAGATAATCTCTCTAACAGCTGGAAGGACAGGACCGAAATAGCACTCGAACCTTGTTTGAAAAGAGAAGTAGATGTCAGATATCTCCAGTGGTTAACTGGCAGGCTGCGGTTCCAGTGGCGGAATTTGCACGTTGACCATCAGGAGCAATGTAAACTCTTGCATAAGGTAAAAATTCTTCTGACTCACAGTGGAATTGTTTCTTATTTATGCCCTACCAGTAAATCCCAGGTCTGTAATTAACACTGGTTCACTAGTTTTGTACAGTGTTTTATCTACTCCTGTAAATACAAATATATCCCTCTTCAACCCTCTATGCAAAATCATGAAAAAACTGATGGATTATGTACCATGGCCACAAGGTTATAATCTTTGACTGGCTCTCCCTTTCAGCTTGGCATATTCACCATCCTCCCCACCAAGGTAGGTTCCCTCTGTATTTATCAGAACATGTCTGAGCTTGTTCTTCATGTCCTCCTAATTGGGAGCTGCTTAGCCAGGGCAGAAGTGCAGGTTACTCATACAGCTGCGCAGAAATGTAATGCAAGATGTCCACCTCTCAGTTTTTTATTCAAAGTGTTGGACACAACTTCAGCATCAAAAGTAGCAACAATTGGAAAATTAAATACAATCCCCCTCTTCTTAAAATAGTAGTGAAAGTCTGATTTAAACCAGGAAAGCTAAAGCAATTCCAAATCACAGAGTGGCAGTAGCCTCTGCACAGTCAAGGTTGCAGGTTATTTTCCATTTTAAGCTTGATTTTTGCATGCTCACCTGAAATTTGCAAACAGCTTTGAGCATCATTGCCTGTATGGGTAGAAGGGAAGTCTTAGAGCCGCAACTCCCAGTTGGGAGCATTGATGGCCATGGACGGAAAAATAAATATCTAAAAATACTTTCACTAGTGAAAGACCTTTTTCATATGCTTGGATAACTGAAATAGAGCCACTGGGAACCTCCATAAAGTCTCTGAGGCTATAAATGAGCTTGAGAAATTGCAGCCCAAAGGGAAGCTTTTATCAGAAAGTTCTGAAAGTGAGAACAAGAGGGTTTGAATGAAGATGACTTCTCAGCTTTAATGACTATATATGGCACTACAATCTTAAGACTTTAATGAGTTTTTATTTTGTTTTTTAAATGAATTTATCACTAGTGGAAGGTGTCTGACTGAAAACCTGGAGACTGAAGTCCTTCATGTAGCATTGATTAGGTACTGCGTGTGCAGCAGTGAAGAACTTTTACTACACACTGCCCATGGTAAATGTGGCTCAATCCTGACCTGGAACGAAAGAGGGCAGTTTGTGCTTCATGGCTGATTCAAGTCCTTGATCTCTGTACTGAGGTCCGCAACAATGGTGCCACTTACAAAGGTGTCTTCATGGTGTGGAACTAGAATGGAACTCTCATCCACCCCCTCTCCCCCTGGGAATTGCAGGGTCAAATTGGGATATGCAAATCAAGCTGTTTTTTTTTTGTTTTTTGTTTTTGTTTTTTGTACTGTCCAGCACCCCCCCCAACAGAGATTGTGCTTGGGTCTCAAGAGAATAACTTTTTTGTTGATATGCAAGTCAGAAGAGAATCCAACTAATTCTTTCACCATCATAAAGGCTCTGCACAGCTGGTGACAGTAAAGTGACTGATGCTACAATAGCATATGGGTGATCTGCAACTCGTAGCAGCAAATATCTCCAATGGCCAGTAACGGGACACTAGATAGGGAGGGCTCTGAGTCACTACAGAGAAATATTTCCCAGTTGTCTGTTTCACCCACATGCTGAGGGTCTAACTGATCACCATCTTTGGGGTTGGGAAGGAATTTCCCCCTGGGTCAGATTGGTAGAGACCATGGGTTTTTTTTGCCTTCCTCTGCAGCATGGGGCACGAGTCGCTTGCAGGTTTAAACTAGTGTAAATGATGGATTCTCTCTAACTTGAAGTGTTTAAATCATGTTTTGAGGACTTCAGTAACTCAGCCAGAGTTTATGGGCCTATTATAGGAGTGGGTGGGTGAGGTTCTGTGCCCTGCAATGTGCAGGAGGTCAGACCAGATGATCATGATAGTCCCTTCTGACCTTAAAGTCTATGAGTCTATGATTTCACAAGTAAACTGGCCAGATATAAATCTAAGGTCCCTGGGGATAGAAGTACCTATTTTTGAAGATGATAGGCCAATTTCTGCTCTCTGATGTGTGTACAGAGCTGCCGTTAAAGCTGCATGCATGTAAGTGTAACCCTTCTGCCCCTCTGAGTTGGCAGCAACAAGGGCCGGGTTCAGTATCTAGGGGTTCCTTTTCAATAACGCAATGCAAAACCAGCTCGAGCCCCCACCCAGTGACCTGGGACAATTACATACCACCCCCCGGGCGCCTCTAGGAGGCAATACTTCCCCTCTTGCAAGCACGGAGTCTGAGTGTAGCAAAAGCCTTTTAATAAAGGAGGGAAACAATGTGGCATTATGTTGGGAAAACACCACAAACAGGATTCATAACACAAACCATGAGCAAAAGACCCACCTCCAAGTAAGTTTGGCAATGTCCTTTTCCCCTCAGGGTCTTAAGTCCAATCACCCCAAAGTCCAACAGCCCAAAAGTCTCTGTCCCTGGTCAGTGCTGCCCCAGAGTTCAAAAGTTTTTCTGCAGAGTTTTACCCCCCCAGCCTGGGTGGAAATGCGGGGGGCACACAGGTATTAAGGGGCACCTTACGTGGTCCGAGGCCGACTGCCTCGCCTCTCCGTGGAGTTCTGCTGCAGCCTTCACCACGGAACGGCTCTGCTGTACCAGCCGTTCCATTCCTCCAGCTGTTCCGTGGGCTGCTCCAACCGTCCCCCAAACTGTTCCGCTCTGCCAGCCGCTTAGCAATATATCTTCAGGCTCCCCCACTAGTTAACACAGCACTCAGTGATCTCAGCTCAGTAATTTTAGCTCTTTTAGTGTTTTCAGCTTGTAGTAGGGGAGCCCCAGTGCTGGTGCACCATTAGCCCAAAGTGAATTCAATTCAGCAGCCTCTAGCTAAACTCCTAATGGAATCAAAATTAGCTTTGTTATTCAACAGTGGGGAGAGGAGGCAGTGTAATTGGTGTTCCGGGCCCATACCATCAGGCACACATACCTGTCCCCCACCTTTCTCAATTCACTGGGTTTTGGAACCCATGTCCCTTGTCTAGTGAGTGCTACTTAGGTGATGGTGAGACCCTCTGTCATAAAACAGTTTCATTGTCCTTGATTCACATAATCAGGGTAACAACACTTTATTCCTCTTGCCCCAATATCAGAGAAACTGGGGATCCCACACCTGCGAAAGTGACCATTTTGGGCTGCCGTGGGCTCATGCTAGGCGGGGTGGGTGTGCCTATGCAAACAAGATCAGCCCCTGAAGTTCTTTTCCACACTTGCCATAATTCACCACCAGATGTCAGGGTAGAGCTCATCCTGACTCTGCTTACATAAGGATGGATTTGATCCCTAGTATTCAGTGCATAACCATTAACGATATTACATGTGCTCTGATACCTAGGCACTACAGTGTGAGTTAAGTGCAGAGTAGCAATAACAGTGCGCTGTGTTCTGGATAATTGAAAGATAAAGTTCTAAATGCCTTGTAACAGTGCTCTATTACATATATATATTAATGCTTAGTAGTTAAACATGGTCACAGAAAACACTATATATGCACAAAAGAGTCAAGTTGCAGCTGCTGTGTGCACCATGATTGTATATTTCCTGGCCCCTCTGGATGCGGAAATATGCCATACCATTGCATTAATATAGTTTTTATCATCTAAAATAAGCTGCCATCTATTAAAAGTTTGAGGTTTTTGAGGAATTCCATTTGAAAATTCAGCTTACCTAATCTGATTTGTATATGAGATCTTACTGTTGTGGTATGGTATGAAACCACAGACACCACATGCAAAGGGGGGGTGTAATGTTTTTTGTTGTACTGACAGATTTTCAGAATGATGGCTCTACAAAGTTATAATTATTGCTTTTACTCACTGTGTTTAATAACTTATGAGGATATGTATCTTGAATATTGAACAGAATTTATTATGGCTGATAATGATCTATAGTTTTAGTACACTGGTGGCAACTTTCTACAGATTTCAGTATGTTAATTCAAACTGGTTCTGACAGGCTAGTCTCTGTGTTTGGAGTGTCATTCAACAGACTCTGGGTATGCACTTTAAGTTCATTCTGGTTTTAGAGATACTAGTAATTCTGGCAGTGTTCTGCATGTTAGGTATAGGAAATATTGCTGGAAACCATAATATGGCTAAAGCAGGAAAGGACTTTTTAAGTGTGTCCATTGTAAATTTATATGGAATTGTTTTTAAAACTGATTTTTTTTGTTTTTGTGTCAGAATAAGTATGTGAAAAGAAATATCAGAATTTTCCTGAATTTCAGGAAAACATGATGATTCTCCGTTTGGTATTGTGAGGTATCTCTGTATCTGGTAAAAGGCTCAGACAGAAATTGCTATTGAACTGGAAGAGGGGCAAGTTGTGATCACAGAGGTAAATTCTGTTAATTCAATGAGGTGTCAGATCATGGATTTACAAAATTGGGCACCTGCTCAGAATATAACTATGTCTATTTATACACCAGTGTGAGAAAGTTAAGATATAAACTTGGTAAATTAGAATGCCTGGCACTCAACCCTATGCTGCTGCAGCTTCCTTCTGTTTTTATCCATGCTAGATAGATTAAAGCTAGCATGCATTTGTCTACCTGAGCTGCAGTCACACACTTTGGATTTCAGTATAGACAGACCTTTAGAGAGGAAATGTGGTATCTCATAATTAGGGCCCTACCAAATTCAGGGTCCATTTTAGTTAGTTTCACAACCAGGTGCTTTTAAAATTAGTCCATTTCATGTTTTCAGATGTTTATATCTGAAATTTCATGGTGGTGTAACTGTGGGAGTCCCGACCCAAAAGGTAAGGGTGGGAAGGTCACAAGGCTATTTAGGGGGGTCATGGGATGCCACTCTTACTTCTGCCCTGCTGCTGGCAGTGGCACTGCCTTCAGAGCTGGGTAGCTAGAGAGGAAGGCTGCTGGCTGGGTGCCCGGCTGTAAAGCCAGTGCCACTGCCAGCAGAAGCAGAGAAGTGAGGGTCACAGGGTTCGAGAGGTGGGTTACCATAGGTCCCATTTTCCTGGCAGTCTCCTGCCCCATTGGGGGGATGACAGCTGGAGCCCCCTGCCTTCCCGTGTCGGGGGAGGCGACTGCTTGAGCCGTGGAGCTTCCTGCAGCTGGAGGAGATCCCAGAGGTGGGTGTGACCTGCCCCAAGGGCAGCCCCTGCAGGGAAAGAGGAAGTCATCTCCCTCCCCATCCCCAGAGGACTAGCAGCTGGAGCCCTGTGCAGGGTTATAGATTAGATTTCACGGTCCGTGACACGTTTTCCATGGCTGTGAATTTGTTAGGGCCCTACTCATAATACAAGGACAAAGGGAAGTGAGCAAAACTGAAAGGAGCAATGTTGCACATTATTAAGGACAGAAGGGTTATGATCATCTAGTCTGACCTCCTGTATAATACAGGCTATGGAATTACATCAGACCATTCCTGCATCAATCCCAATAACTGGATGAGCTAGAGCATCTTTTATAAGGATACATCCAATCTAGATTTAAAGACTTCAAGTGATGTAGAATCCACCATATCCGTAGGTAAATATTCCAATGGTTAGTTACCCTCACTGTTTTTAAAAAAAGTGTCTTATTTTTAGTCTGAATTTTTCTGGGTTCAGCTTCTGGCCACTGGATCTTGTTCTGCCTTTGTCTGTTAGATTAAAGACCCCTCTATTGTCAGATATTTTCTCTCCATGTAGGTTCTTCTTGATAATGATTAAGTCCCCTCTTCCACTTCTCTTGGATAAACGAAATAGATTGAGCTTCTTTACTCTATTACTGTAAGGCAGATTTTTCTAGACCTTCAATCGTTCCTAAACCTGATGAAAGGAAATACTTTTTCACATATGCTGCACAATTAGCCTCTGGAAATTCTTACCACAAATTATTGAGGTCAAAAGCTTAGCAGGATTCAGGAAAGGTTTAGACATCTATACAGACTAGACCACAAGACTATTTAGTTATAGTAGTAAATATTTAAAAGAAGTGTACTGAAAGGGTTATATAAACCTTCATGCTTCAGAGCATAAACCAGCTTCAACCAAAGGAACTTTCCCTTGTGGACAAGTTATCACATAACTGCATTTGCAGAATTTCTTGTATCTTCTGCTGAAAGATGTGGTACTAGCTACTGTCAGAGGATGCTGGGCTGGGTGGACCTGGCCTCATTTGGTCTGGCAGGTCCTGTGGCAGCACATGATCCCCACATGCTTTCAGCAGAGAGCTTGGAACTTTCTGAAACGCAGCGCTCATTAGAGCAAGGTTATATGAAGAGCTACTTTCTTGCCACTCCAACCCATTTTTTTCATTAGCAGCTTAAAAACGACTCTGAGTCCCCCAAGATTAATTTATTTTTCTTGATATTGTTTCCCTCTTTCAGCCTGATGTTGGGCTTTAGTAGTAATGGCAGGCCTTACATATAAAATACACTACCATAAGCCTCCTTTATAGTGTGTTAAAAAAGGAGGCTTATGGTAGTGTATTTTATATGTAATGCCTGCCATTGTGCCATCTTATGGGATTCAACTTGTTCTGTGGCCCTGTGTGTTGTGGGTCTGTTACCTCCCCAAGAAGGTGTTAGCCCAGAAGGCAGAGTTTAAATACCAGGTCTTCTATGGCAGCAAAATGTCTATTTTTGGCAAATGTGTGCCCTGTTCCTGATGCCTGTTGGAGGGGCTCTTCTAAGTCCTGTTTAATCTGTGTACCCTTCTGCCCAAGAGCCCAGGAAAACTGTCTTTAGGCTTTCATGATGAAGGAATTGCTTTGACCCTTTACAATGGTACCAATGTTAGGTCCATTCCAATCAAGTACTCCGACTTGGTTGAAGACCCTGATGTCCTTCACGTCACTATGTCCTAAGATCTCTTTGACGTGACTTTTGATTGATGAGAGGTCAGATCTGAATCCTAGTTCCAGAAAGCCTAAGGATTCGGTGCCATAATACATCAGGATGGAGGAGAGTCCAGAACTGAATAAAGGGAAGGAAGCAGCAGCGACATGATTTAGAGTGAGAGAAATGCATTTGGAGCTGTTTCTTTTTTAAAAACTTCCGCACAGACCTGTGTGTTGTGCCAGAGGATTGCCACCAGAAGTGAGTTTTGAAAAAGGAATACCAGAATCATGTTAAGTTTCAAGGAGACAGGATAATTAATCATCAATTTAAAATATTTGTCAATCCCTAAGTGCATGATAATAGTAATATTAGAACAAGGGAAGAAAAGCAACTAACATTCTTATGTCATGTGGACAGAAATATTAATGAAATGTGAAAGATTGTATGACAAATGTGCACTAGTATCTTGTCTGACAGCTGCAGTTATTACAGTAACAAAGGGATCAGCATTGAATAGAGGGAATTGCTTTTTATTGTTCCCCTGACTAACTTGGGAAGATTCTTCCTCATATAATTGATGATGATATCATCAAAACAGCTGGGGCAAGTTTCTGGCAGCATCAGTAAAGAGCTAGTTATGATTTACAGCAAAGATTTAATATACCTAATGGCATTTTCTGCATTAAGGGAAGAGATCAGAAGCTATACATTGTGTATAGCTCTAACAGGTATGTGTGTAAATGTGTTAATAACTTTTTAATGCTTTACAAATATTTTAGGTGAATTCTGTTATGGGGTAAAAGTATTAGACCCTGAAACACCTTGGGAAGTGAAGCCCTCTGACTTTAAACCAGGCAGCAACAGTGGAAACTTCCGCATGCCACCTGGCTAACACTGCTGACATAGTGAGACCATTTTATGAGTAAGAAGGTTGTTCACTCCGCAGGGTCATTCAGCCTTGGTTTCTAGGACACCGTCACAAATAGGGCCGATTCAGCAAGTGGCAGTTGTGTGTGCACCTGTCTGTTGGGAATTGGGTCATGACCACCAATTCACTTCATGTAAGCCGCCAAGGAGCCTTCAGATAGTACCAGCTTTCAGTCATTAACGACCTGGTCTGTTTATATTTATTTGTATCTGTTTATCTAATTTTGTCTGTTGCAGATTCATTCTTACACTAGTGGCTGTCATATGGATCAGACCATCGGTCATTTCTCTGTCACAGAAACCGATCTCATTAGACAACCAGATAGCTACAAACAGGTAATGCTGTGGTACTCGATCACGTTTTGTACTCTGATGCTCAACAGTCCTTATACACATACTGGTCTACATTCCACAGAAAATGAGGCAGTTTCTAACATATTTTCATCTTTAACTGCCATGCTGGGTTGCCCATTTTTAGATGCTGAGCTTCCAGCATCAGACAGCTCTGGGAATTCCTCTTGTTCTAAGTTTTATAGGCATTCTGAGATAGTGGAAATTAAGCATGGAAGTCTTTCCCTACGCAACTGATCAGCTGCCTGTACCCGAACAAATGAGGACAAGGCAGGACAAAAATTATAATGAAAATCTCCAGATCACTTTATTAACAAATATGGGAGCAGGTGACTACAGATGTTTTCTGTTTGTGACTTCTGTGTTTCTAGGACATTTGTGGGCCCGGGGGAGTCCCGTCTATAATAAATGGGGGCTTTGGTTTTGTTACTCATTGCTGTAACTGGTTCAGAACGACAATAAATATGTTCTAAGGATAATCTGATATGAAGCTTTTAACACCTTGTATGTCCCTTTCATTATCCTATCACAAACTTGCATACGTAGGAAGTCCTGGTGAAGGCTGATGCTCTGTACTTTCAAGGGACCTAAAATTTGTCCTGTCTCTGCAAAGTCTGTGTAATTCTTTGTGTCTCTTCTTCCTCCTCAAAACAAAGGTTTCAGTGTAACTGCAAAAAGCTAGCTGCCTAGTACTTTTGAGCAGCTCTTCAGTAACAAACTAGTGTGCAGTTGCCAGGGCAGAACCGTTTCAAATATCAAGTTTCCAACTGGCTGTTATAAGCAGTGAGCAAAATAATGCCCTATGAAAATTAACAGAAATACCTTTTGTCACACTGTCTGGAGTGGCTCACGACCGTGAGTGCCTACCTCAGGACAGACTGTCCAAAGAAGGGCAGACATCCCAAACTGGTGACATGTTCTATAATTAGATTTCACCAAGCCAGTATCAAATGTGAACTACTGGGTCACTGTAACAGTCTTACCATGGAATCATAGACAGTCCCCTTTCACAATCCAGTCTGTCTTGCCACCCAGGCAAGCTGGACTATGTGATAAATGGTCACTTACACCAACAAACACAAATATTCCAGGCTACACCCAGTCCCAAGAGACCAGTCACTCACCCAGGTTGATTTACATCCTAGATCTCACACCAAAGACAATGCTTGTAGCCAATTCTGTAGTAAACTAACTAAAGGCTTATTATCTAGGAAAAATAAATGAGAGTTTTTAGAGATTAAAGCAGGTAAAATATATGTACATGTGAGTACCAGTTTTTAATTGCAAATGGTGGCAGAGATGTAGTAATCTGCTAGTTTCCCAAAAGTGTCTCAGGGCTACCCAGAATAACTCTCTTGATCTCCATCTTCTTGTTTGGTTATTCTCCTCTGTTAGAATCCAAACAGTCCAGAGATGATGGACTTTTCTTTGTGTCAACAAATTGACAGTTTGGCTACCCACATGGGCTCTTTCTTTGATGGCAGAGAGACCAGAATGCATTTAGAGTCTTTGATCTCTGATCATCACATATAATGACCGCTTGCTTTGAAATGCGCAAGATTTGGTATTTTTGTGTTAAAGTTTTTCATTTACATTACACAAGGCTTCTTTCTCTTAGGAAGGGTTATTTAGTTACAGGGGTATATACAATGTAGATGTTTTCTATTACATTCTAACAGGATACAGATAAATGAAAACGATGCATGCAAAATCCTATGAAGTTTAAACATCAAATATATTCTTATATATTTAACAATCACTTTGATCAGTACTAATACACAAGTGAATTGGCATGAGCATGAGCTGGAACCTGGTCGGCCAGCATCAAGCCTTTGATTTGCAATATTATTGGTTTTTTTAAAAGATTATTACTTGTGTTCTGTGTCCTTAAAGCATCTGAGTTTCAAATACTAGTGCAGACAGCAAGCAGCACAAGTTAGCTTGTGCATTGCCAAATAGTTTTGGTATGAAGTTTGTGAAATTTGTTTTTCTCTCAAAGTAATGTGACATTTTTATTAATGTCACCTTAAATAACTAGCTTTACGGATCACTAAAAAGAGGCAGCACATCAGTTTGTCGTATTGTAATGTACCTCGTTGGTAGATGGTATTATAAATAAATTCCTGTTTTGGGTATCATTCAACGGACAGAAATGTAGAGTGGATCAAAGTGTCAGAAATTAGCTACTATAGAAAGAACATTGGGCTGGTTTTTACTGATGCCAATAATTCATTTTCATCGGAGATTTCCTGTGAGAGAACTTGTTCTGACCGATAATAAAACAAGAGATTTCATTCTGAGAGACAAAATGTGATAGAATACAGATAGCTATGATGTTAAAAAGTGGAAAAGTCGTGTAACCCCCTTCATGTTCACTTGTTTAAAATTACCATCTCTTGGGTTTTTGGCTATAAAAGTCTTTTTGTCATAGTTTATACATGGACTTTACCAACCATTATTCTTATGTCGTCTTGAATTTCTGTGCAGGCTTCATAGGAGGAGAATTTTCCATTTGTAATAGAATCTTTGCCACTTTCTCACTAGTCAGGGATTAAGCCATATTCCAATTTGGTTAATTGTGTTCTGTTTACACAAATGTCTCCTGCAATTTAAACTGCGTGTGATATTGTTTTTCACTTCCCATGTCAGTGGTTGGGTAGAGTTTGTGTGATCTGTTAGATTATGTGTTCAGTCCTGAGATGGCAGTACTTCACTGGTTGGTGAAGTTATTCCTGTGTTTTTGGGATTGGAAAGTACTTTATAAATGTCGAATGCTTGGATTTTAGGGGATAACAGTGTGTCCTCACCATTTACCAGGGGATTTACACACCCAATTCCTGTTGGCAGCTGGAAGAGAGTGTAAATACCCTCTGCATCAAGAGACTGCTTTGACTTTCTCTGGCATGTAAATTATTGGGTTAGTTGATTGTGGATATGCCTTGGCAGCAGGGCCGGTGCAACCTATTAGGCGACCTAGGTGGTCGCCTAGGGCACTAGCATTTGGGGGGCGGCATTTTCTTCAGTGGCGACCGCGGCGGCCGGAGTCGGCATTTAGGCGGAGGGAGCTGGGGCAGGGGGGCACAGGGAGGGCCACCTGCAGCAAGTAAGGGGGGGGGCAGGCACGCAGGGGAACTCCGCGCCCCAGCTCACCTCTGCTCCGCCTCCTCCCCTGAGCACGCCGCCCCGCTCTGCTTCTCTCCCTCCCAGGCTTGCGGCGCCAAACAGCTGATTGGCGCCGCAAGCCTGGGAGGTGGGAGAAATGGAGCAGCGACGGCGTGGTCGGGGAGGAGGCGGAGCAGAGGTGAGCTGGGGTGGGGAGCTGCCGCACGGCTCCCCGGGCCGGGGGGGTGGGGAGCTGCCACGGGGGGGGGACGGGACGCCTCAGGGCGGGGAGGGGAGAGGGCGCAAGGTGGAAGTTTCGCCTAGGACATGAAACATCCTTGCACTGGCCCTGCTTGGCAGCCATTGCTGAGAGCAGCAGATGGGGTCAAGAGTACCTCTGTATGCCCCCCCCCCTTGCTGTGTGGTGCATAAGCAGAGATTCCAGCATTCAGCCCTGCTCCTCTCCTTCCTCCTAAAGGTCGAGGGCCCTGCGAGCTGATTGCTGTTGCCAGCCCGTGGTGACAGGTGCCAAGCATTTCACCAAAGAAATGCCAGAGCTTTGCCTAGTGATGAAGACAGCCTGTGTCTGCCCTTGCTCGTGTGTCATCTGTTGAACTCAGAAGCTGATTGGATCAGGGAGTTTATCTTGTTGTCTGTAAAGCTCCTGGCATGCTTCTGGCACAATCTAAGGCTCTAAGCGATAAATAGCAATAAGAGTCTTGGGTGTCTTTTATAGGTTTTTGGGCTAGTGGTTGCTGTTCACTGTCTTGTGACATCCCAGGTTTGATTCAGGGTTCTGGCCTCTGTCACTGTGGGCGATGATAGTCTTGGAGTGCTGTGGGTCTTCCAAGTAGCAGCATTGTCTCTGAAGGAGTGGTTGTGTTCATTTCCTGCCTATAAGGACACTGGCCGTGATGTGGGATAAACATGATAATCCTTCATACCTGGAAAGACAATGTAAGCCCATTCTTATAACATGTCTAAAAGAAATTTGTCTTAGTTCTACATTACATTGTCACTATCTCTGGTGATTTACTTCGCGCTAATAAAATATATGTTGTCCTTCCGACCTGTTCAATTAACATTCTCATCACAAGTGTGACCACACAGAGATCAATGAACTTTAAGGAAAAGCAACCCATTTACTGCCACCCACTCACCCACCCACACCTTTTCTCTCTCTCTCACTGTTTTATGTGTAGAACTCAATCTTGTTTTGTTCTGCTTTGAAAGATTAAAGGCTGCAAGCAGAACTGAGGTCACTGGTAAAATGCTGGTGGCACTAGAGAGATCAGTGTAATTGTTAAAGTAATAAGTAAAGCAGTCACCTTTAAATGCCAGTAAATCAATCTACTGTGTGCAAGATCAAATACAGCAAATAAATAATGGCAAGGAACTGACAAATGAACCTTAACAGAAACTCATTAACACTTAGATGTGAATAGCTTGTCATTTGGTTTCAGAATTTTGTTATGAAAATATTTATACTCATCACATGTTGACCAAAACATTTCTCTATTTTAAATGTATTTTCCTTAAAGCTTTTTTGCGTGTGAAGTTAGTACAGAATAAGCTTGGGTGTGGATTTAAAGAGCAGTGGCTGTTTAACATTGACTCCTTGGGTGGATGCTCATTCTGCACTGAGGGCTTGTCTACACTGGCACGCTAAATCAGTGCCACTGAAGTCAATAGCAGCATGCTCTCCTGTTGACTTCAGTACTCCACCTCCCCGAGAGGCGGAAGATGCTCTCCCACCGACATAGTGCAGTGTAGATACCAAGTTAGGTTGATATAAGCTATGTCGCTGGGGGGATGGAGGTGATTTTTCACACCCCTGAATGACATAACTTACATTGTCTAGAGCGGCAGTGTAGACCAGGCCT